AGTTCGCCTCCACTGCTTCCACATACAGTTCATTCCACTTCCTTGCTACCATCGAGTCTGATGATAGCAGGGAAGTGGATGGTATCCTTGCTTCTGGTTCACGCATTTCAACCCATTTGTCACTATTAGAGCTATGGATTTTTCAGATTATCCTGTACTTGGTAATCAGTTCTTGTAGAGCCATTAGGCTGAGGTCACCCTAGTCTTTGCTCACAGTGCAGACTCCCCTAGTAGTAGGACTAGTCTACTTGCAAAAGAGTGGAACTCCACTGACAACATCTCCCCACGAAAACTGGGGAATTACGCCTAGCCCCTTCTACCTCAGTGCACTCAAATAGTACAGAGCGTGGCACAAGCTTCTAATGTAGTTAATAACAGTGCTGAATATTTGAAGCCAATCAGAAGAGGTATTCACAAGTTACCGCAAGGAAACAAATATTTCAGTTTGAATAAAAATAAGAGATTGACACTTACATAGTTCAAAACTAATTCAAACATTCCACTAAGATGCTCCTGCTTCGAAAGGCTAAAGGAAATCAAGAAAAGCATTTTCTAGTTATCATACAGCCCATGACCGAAAATACACCGGAACTTTAGGTTTAAAGCCGTTCAGAAGCTGCATTCTCAGGTTATTGGCGCTGAAGGTTTGAAGCCAATCAGACGAAGTCTTCACAAATTATAATTATTGCATGAAAATTAGTATTTCAATTTTCCTGATTTCAATAAAATTGGCATGTTAGTAGATACACGATCCGAAATTAATGGAAGCCTTTCTCTAAGATACACTAGAATTTAAGGTTTGAAACCATAATGGTTTATATAAAACTCGCCAGAGGGCACCTGCCGTGCTAACAGTTCACGAAGCTTCCCCTACTTACAGTAAACCATACTTGAAAATTTGAAGCTGATCGGAACAGGCGTTCTCAAGTTATAAGCGAAAACCCTTGATTGCTTTATTTCATTTCAAAAGCACTAGAACAATCTGACTATACAGTACTTTAAATACTGCTGGTCTTAACGTTATCAAAAATAAAATATCATCAAGAACTTGCTACTGTTGCGATCAATTCACTCGTTTTACATAAATCATAATTACAAAGCAATTACAGTATTTTTATTATTACATTCATGGGGGAACGCTAAATTCGTTGGAGAGGCAGTCATATTAAATCCAAGGAAGCGGATCCAATTCACTGAATCAAGAGCTCCTTACCATATTCATAATTCATCCGTCATCGGCAGTTTCTGCAAATTAAGACGAAAGCTGAAATATCCCCAACATTTATACCGAGACACTTATGCAGCATATGGGAATCTTTATTCAGGAAACTTTTCGCCACACAGTGGCTTCATCAGTCCAATACAAAGAGGAAGGCGTAAGGAGAGGAGGAGTATGAGGTAATCAGTCCCTCAACCTGGAGTCGATGTGTTCAGTCCATCAATCTTGTAGAATGTACAGCATAGGGCCGTAGACGTGGCTTATATACTGTAGTGAGGTGAGGTGAAGCAGGCGGAGGCGGGGTCATAGTGGTACATCCACTAGTCGAAGTAGGTCTTCGTCCAAAGGTTGAACAAGTGTTGAAGAATTCTTTGTAACAAGATCCCATGATGCTGCAGTGTCTGACAGTTGTGATGAATGGTTTGAAAAACCGACACTTATGCAGCTTATGCTGCATAAGTGTCTCAATCTTCAACTTGTCGGTTTTTCAAACCATTCATCACAACTGTCAGACACTGCAGCATCATGGGATCTTGTTACAAAGAATTCTTCAACACTTGTTCAACCTTTGGACGAAGACCTACTTCGACTAGTGGATGTACCACTATGACCCCGCCTCCGCCTGCTTCACCTCACCTCACTACAGTATATAAGCCACTTCTACGGCCCTATGCTGTACATTCTACAAGATTGATGGACTGAACACATCGACTCCAGGTTGAGGGACTGATTACCTCATACTCCTCCTCTCCTTACGCCTTCCTCTTTGTATTGGACTGATGAAGCCACTGTGTGGCGAAACGTTTCCTGAATAAAGATTCCCATATGCTGCATAAGTGTCTCAATCTTCAACTTGTCGGTTTTTCAAACCATTCATCACAACTGTCAGACACTGCAGCATCATGGGATCTTGTTACAAAGAATTCTTCAACACTTGTTCAACCTTTGGACGAAGACCTACTTCGACTAGTGGATGTACCACTATGACCCCGCCTCCGCCTGCTTCACCTCACCTCACTACAGTATATAAGCCACGTCTACGGCCCTATGCTGTACATTCTACAAGATTGATGGACTGAACACATCGACTCCAGGTTGAGGGACTGATTACCTCATACTCCTCCTCTCCTTACGCCTTCCTCTGTGTATTGGACTGATGAAGCCACTGTGTGGCGAAACGTTTCCTGAATAAAGATTCCCATATGCTGCATAAGTGTCTCAATCTTCAACTTGTCGGTTTTTCAAACCATTCATCACAACTGTCAGACACTGCAGCATCATGGGATCTTGTTACAAAGAATTCTTCAACACTTGTTCAACCTTTGGACGAAGACCTACTTCGACTAGTGGATGTACCACTATGACCCCGCCTCCGCCTGCTTCACCTCACCTCACTACAGTATATAAGCCACGTCTACGGCCCTATGCTGTACATTCTACAAGATTGATGGACTGAACACATCGACTCCAGGTTGAGGGACTGATTACCTCATACTCCTCCTCTCCTTACGCCTTCCTCTTTGTATTGGACTGATGAAGCCACTGTGTGGCGAAACGTTTCCTGAATAAAGATTCCCATATGCTGCATAAGTGTCTCAATCTTCAACTTGTCGGTTTTTCAAACCATTCATCACAACATTTATACCGAAACAGATGCTGTTTTTTTGTCATATACGCACCCTGTGGGAAGAGTTGCAACCCTCCCCCCCAAAAAAGAAAATAGAAGGCCCCTACCCCTAGGCACAATCATTATATTTAGGGAAAAAAGGCCAACGTAGAGGGGCCATATAGCGCCTGGTGAGACAATCGAGTTCGATCCCAGAAAAGGAAGGACAGGTTCGATTCCTTGGCTCAAAAGTTAGTCACAGCACGAAGAACCCCCTCCTCTCTCCCACTGAGGTGGCCCTAGGCACAAGCCACTCTAACATCACAACCGCATTAGGTGACCCAGGGTCAGGCAGAAAACCTGGTAGGAAAAGTGGGGAAAAAAATCTGTCAGCCACTTTAAGGTATACCTTTGGTGATATTTAATAATAAATTTTGATACTTTGTGCTGTGCAATTACAGTAGTGTCATACTATGAATAATCAGAGAATATTTTAAACTTCGTGCAAAATGCAATATGCGTGCATATCTGTACACCTACTTTCATATTAAACATATTTATGACCCATACAGAGTTACCGTTTGTTTTATTTTTATTATAAAGCACAATAATGATACAGTAATAATAACAATAATAGCAATAATAATAATAACTCAGTCATCTTTTCTTTCATGCTGGTAAACATCTTACCTTTGATGAGTTTCGAGAGGTTTTCTGCCTACGGAGCTCGGCCTTGGGCCACACGAAGAAAATGCCCTTCTGAAGTTTGTGATTTTTGTGGTATCTTTCATAAGAAAAGTATAATGAGAGAGACGACTCTTCTTCGTGTGAGGAGCAGCCAACGTGCACAGGGCGGTGCGTGGCAATGTAGAAGAGATCCATCAGTGTGTTGAAGGAGGATCAGCACGCAAGTCATGACACAAACTTCTTCACCTCCACTCTCCGCCCGGAATGACCCTCGTTGACTTCGTAGATGAACTAATTTAAATCTTCCTGAGCTCAAGTAATGTCAGTCGCTAAAGAAATCATTGAAGTAATCCGATTTACGGAGTATGTAGTAATAAAAGATAGTAATTTCCCACAAATTAATGAAAAAGCCTTGATGAAAAAATATGATTCAGCATTTTCGTAATCAAAAAACCGCCGAGGATAAGTACATAATAATAATAATAATAATAATAATAATAATTGGGTAATACTGCCAAAGAAATAAAGAAAGAATACGCTAGTCCATATGAGATCACATTCAAGAATACTTTTATTACTTAAAAACTTATATTACTGTATTCTTGCAAAAGAAAATTTCTTTAATGCGGCATATTATACTAATATAAGAAATAACAAGACACCAAACAACGAACTACCTAAGAAAAATACGAGAACGTTACCTAGCCAATCCCTGCGAACATTTCCTAGCCATGCCCTGCTAAGATTTCCTAGCCATCCCGTACTAACGTTTCCTATCCATCCCCTGCTAACGCTTCTTAACTATCCCCTGCTAACGTTTCCTAACCATCCCCTGCTAACGTTCCCTAGCCATCCCCTACAAACGTTATCTAGCCATCCCCTACAAACGTTATCTAGTCATCCCCTGCAAACGTTCCCTAGTCATTCCCTGCAAACGTTCTCTAGCCATCCCCTGCAAACGTTCTCTAGCCATCCCTTGCAAATGCTCCCAGCCATCTTCTGCAAACGTTTCTTAGCTATCTCCTGCAAACCTTTCCTAGCCATCCCTTGCTAAAGTTTTCTAGCCATCCCCTGCAAACGTTCCCTAGCCATCCCCTGCCAACGTTCTCTAACCATCCCTGAAAACGTTTCCTAGTCATCCCATGTACACCTTTCCCAGCCATCCCTTGCAAAAGTTACCTAGCCATCTTCTGCAAACATTTCCTAGCCATACAATGTCAACGGTTCCCAGCAATTTCCTGTATGTTTCCTAGCCATACCCTATAAACGTTTCCTAGCAATCCTTCATAAAAAATTCTAACGTCTCTTAACGTTTTTCAAACAATTTTCAAACGTTTTCCAATTCACTACAAACGTTTTCCTAGCCATCCCCTCCTAACTTTTCATTAGTTATCCCCTGCAAAAAAAAATCATAACTATCCCTGAAAACGTTTTCCTAGCCACACCCTAGCTATTCATAGAAAAGTCTATCCATTCACGATATACGTTTCAGTGTTTAGCATTATTATAAAATAATTTCCTTGCCAAGGAATTGACAATTCTAGAAAATAAAATGAATATACTATCCGTAAAAAGATGCATAAATATGAATACACTATTTTTGACAGGTCCGAATCTGATAAAGAGGATAAAAAAAAATCCCTTCCACATACACTTACCTTGTATAGCCGCCTTGGTGAGCCTTAGAATATCCAAGTTGATCTTGACGGGCTGAGAGGTCACTTGGAAGGTCGCTTCTCGGTGACCTTCGCTGATCTCTGTCTCAGTTTTCATACCGAGGAAGAATATCTGTACATCTCGCACACGCACTCGTCCACTACACGTACCCAGAGCCGTGACCCCATCCACCCCCATGATAGTGTCAACAATGGGTGAATTTTCGCTAGAGAGGTCAAGGGTGAAATCGAAAGGATCTTCGAGTATAGTAAGCTCCTCCTCCTCTTCTTGGGATCCTTCAGCCATGCGTGAAGCTTTTAAGTATTTTTTGTACAGGTTCTCTCCCTTTAAGAATTCCTTCACCTGGATTTTCACAACACTGTAGACTTTGTTTCGGCTGTGACCCCTTTCTGGCCCAATGTGAGTGACTTTAGCTGTAAGTACCATGTCAGCGTGTTCCACGGCCTGGTCCACATAGCCTGGCCAGCAGGCCAATGTAGGGCAGGCCATTAGTAGTAATGCCAGTGCCACCTTGGCCATGACCTGCACCAACATAATGGCGTCAAAGGTCGACCGCAGGCACTGAATCACACCATCACTCCCACTTGTTCATTCTCACGAAAATATAACAAACATTCGAATAGCACATTCAGTGTATTTTACGAGTCGTCATAAAGTGACCAGCACTATCTGTTTCATAATTGCAAAAAAAAAAATCATATTCAAACACTAGCAGTCATTATATGTAGTTATTACTCACAGCTTTGCAGGATCATGAAGCTATATGAGCATTTTAGTATCGCTATTTTCACTACCACTGCAAAGTTTCTTGTGGAGGTATTACACTTTTGTATATCTGAAAAAAAAAGAAAGATCGTATTAAGGGGAGTCGAGAGATATTTTTAGTTTTCTATTCCACTTCCTCATTCTCCTTTCCTTCCTCCACCCTCTCCCTTATATACCAAACTCCTTAAAATGAAATAAGACGAAGTATTTATAAGTGATCTAAAGGTTACTTCAAAAAATATGAACTTTGATAAACGAAAAATCGGCTCCCAATACTGCTGCCAAGTCGTACTTCCCAGTTTTATTAGGAAGGATGGTCTTAAGCACCATTCTAACTGTTGTATATTTTGAAATCACTGATGACAAGATGAGAAGAAGCATTTTCATGACATCTGAAAATCAAACGATGGTAGGATATTCATATCAAAACATACTGGCTAAAGTCACAGGTAATGCCGAGGTATATTAAAAACACTGGATGGTGGTTGTTTTCATAACTTACTTCATCACATAATTCTTGTAAGAGGACCAGCAGAAAGTAACCAGCAGAAAGTAACCAAATGCACTGCAGTCGCTACGTGATCCGAGAAAGGTATCCCTGTAACCCATGAGCCCAGCAACCCCCTTTACCTCAATGCGGAACGTTTCTAACGCGATTTAAAATCAGTGCTTAAAACTTTAAAACGAATCATTCAGAAGTAATCGCATGTAAACTAAAATCCCAATTTCTTCAATAAAATCGCTAACTGGCATCTATACAGTCTAAGACTAATTTGGACTTTCCAGTAAGAAATACACCTTTGGAAGTTTAAAGCCAGTCAAAAGAGGCATTTTATAGTTACCTCATAGATACCAATATCCTAAAATACACTAACACTAAGTCTGAAGCCACTTAAAACTCGCATTCTCAAATTATTGGCGTTGAAGCTCTGAAGCCGATCAGATGAGATATCCAGAAATTATCTCATGAAAAACAATATGTCATTTTGCCAAATTTCACACAAAAATGGCATACTGACATCTACACAGCCCAAAATTAATTGAGAGTTTTCCCTAACATACATGGTCAACATTTAAGGTTTGAAGCCGATCAGAAAAAGCATTCTCAAATTACTGCACGGCAACCAATTTGATTAATAAAAATGGTAAATTACAACGTTCATTATCCAAAATCAGGGTTAAGCTTCCACTTAAGATTGAAGTCATACAGAAGAGACATTGATTTTTTAAATCAAAATTGAAGCATGCAATCCGATGACAATGCCATGCTTCTCCTAAGTAAGATAAAATAGTGTTAAAAGTTTAAAAACGATCAGAAGATGCTTTCTCAGGTATCAAACAACACCAGCTCAGGAACTGTCTATATAAAAATGACCAGAGGTCATGTGCACATAATAGTTCCAGGAACCTTTTCCAAGTTATAATTCTCCATTATTAAAAAATGTGAAGCCAATCGCATGAGGCGTTCTTAAGTTTTTTATTATTATTATTATTATTATATTTAGAGGAAGCTCTAAACCCGTAGGGGTCGCATAGAGCACGCGTAGTGGAAGGAATTCAGGTTTGATTGAAGGGGAGAACAAGTTTCATTCCTTGGATCAAAAGCCCTCTCACCAGCATGAAGCTCCCTTAAGGTATCTAGTTGTCGATCAAAACCTTGGAAAGAAAGAGAATAGATGTTCCCCTTTAGGAATACCTAATTAAAAATATAAATTAACTTAAAATTACCCATTAGCTTTATTCATAATGAATTGCTAGGGCGCTCTAACATGTCTTGTATTTAAAAATTTCCACCAGATTATTTTCACTACTTTGGTGCCAACAATTCACCAAAATCATAACTGCAAAACTCCAAACGTACCATTATTATATTCAAAACAAGTTTTAAACTCATATCAATCATAACTAAATAACGCTGAACTAAGCTTGTTCTTATTATTTTTTTTAATTTCCTGAAATACTAACAAAGTTTACGCAAGCAATGTGCATTAATTTATTTGTGGGAATATAGTTACATATGTCTTTGTGCATGATAATTACACCTTCCAGGTGAGGAGCGTGCAGGTAACAACCTTGCCGCTTGCAAGTCTCACCTCCATCTGGGTTGATTCACGACGACTGAAGCCTCACGAACCAGCGCAGCTTACGAGTGCAGATTACAGAAGCCTCACCAGTTTACACTGGATCTTAGTGGATTCGACTGAACCCTCGCTAACGAATAAGTTTACACGTGCAGGATATCACAGAAGCCTCACTAGTTTACTCTAGTTCAAAGTGGATTCACAAGGACTAAAACCTCACAAACGAGTTTACATTAGTTCCCAGTGGGTCATTATTAATGGGAAACACTAAACCCTCAGTGATCACACAGCGCCAAGGATAATGGGAAGAAATCACGTTTGATCAAAGGGAAGGGAAAGGCAGCTCCAATTACTTAGGTTAAAGGGCCAGCACCAGCATCAAGGCACCGTCCACCTTCAAGGGGTCTTAGTGATAAGGAACACGACTCTTCAGAAGAGAACTCTCAGAAAACTACAATATTTGGTATTTGACCAGTAGAAAAATCATCAGTGAATTTTGTTTTATAGAATATTTTCAACAAATTTACATCAACCGAATAACAGCGCTGAATACCTACACGTGTTTAGCGTTCTGTGTACGAATATAACAACAATACATAAAAAAATGAAAAGAGTGTTGTAAGACTCATTCATTACTAGCAAACATCCACATTACATGATACTGAAGACTCGCATATAGGTAAACGACAAAACTTGCTGCAAGCTGCCTGATGTAAATGATCAAGAAAACGATCATTTTTGATATGCCAGATTACTTTTATGTGCCAAAACAAATATACTAGCCTAATCTAATTTTGGTAAAAATATGCATTAAAAAACCACAAGTTCGTTTCCTTCTTTTCTGTTTTCTTAAGCGGAAAGCGTGCCTCGAGGAGTATGATGTATGTGTTAGAAAAGGACGTGAAGGAGTTTTACGAATGGGAAGATCAAGGAGTGTATGTGTGGTTTGTTTCATTTGCTATACTAAGCACTAGAACTATTTATTTAGTCAGGCTTTCAACATATTCCACTTTTAACATTATCAAGTTTGCACTTACTAACAACCTGCTAACAATCATGACAAATTTCTTCTTATATTACGTAAATCCTAATCACAAATCAAGAAAACTAAATTATTTCTCACAATCCATATCCATAATTCGTTCCGTGTTATCAGTATTAACAAGAAATTTAGACGAAAGGGAAAATGTCCCCACCACTTACGCCGAAAGATATACTGGATTCTTAGTCGGGCTAAGCTACTCAATAATACCACCACCACGTTAAGGTGACCCAGCATCCGGGGCTGGGGATATATTGTGTGGGAAGAAGTGGGAGGGGAAGTTTTTGTTTACAATACAGTATACAACAGGTGAAGAATTAGACACATGTCCAACATCTAGGTATATTTATTTTGTAGACGTTTCCAATGAGAAGTCCCGCCTACCAGTGACAATGCCTTCGTCTGATGCACTTCATCTGACTCAAGTAAAGAGCTCCAATCTTCCTGCCTTGGCTTCAGATTCTTCAAGACAATGGTGCTCATCACCTGCTACTAGGTTGTGGGACTAATTACATTGTTTTCAACCTCCTCAGTCTTCTCTTTTTGTCCCGGTATAGTAATAATAAAGCCACTGGTTATCGAAACATTTACCAAGTAAAGAAACCCAGATGTTGTACATGTATATAATTCTTCACCCTGTCAGTACTGTTTACCACTGGTGTACACAGATAGTTTTAGAAGCACAAGTTCCATTTTTTTTGACAATGGTTTTGAGAGTACATAAATGAGAGCGAAAATGTGTATCACGATGGCAATAAGGATAAATTTCACGCGCTGGAATATTTATATCACAAATCCTTAACGATTTTAAACCAAATATTTATTTCTAACAGATGGGACACGACACTACCTTTGTGCGAACTCTAGTTTCACATGTGTTATGTAACTCAGTTCAAGCACTCCAGGACGTGACAATGGTCGCGCACACACTAACGAGTGCTAGATAGGAGACTCCACCATACGCTAGCCAGTTCAATGACGCAGCAATACGTATGTCTTAATGGATATTAAATGTCACATTACGGATGACATTTGCTATTATAAATTATCCTAATGCATTTCTACCTTAGTAACCTAAGACTGGCATCACTCTGACATTAACAATCACAATTTCTGAGTCTTCCGTTGTCACATTTGTCACCATGTATCGTAATAAAACATCCCTGTAATCTCACCATCATGACAAAGTAATCCATCATATTAACTCACTGTGACTTCACTAGAGCAACTGAACATACATCTTGGCACCACAACAACGGCTTGACCTAAAGACCTCCCGTCAATGAGATAGGAAGTTAGCTGCTCTCGGTCTGCCTGTCACGGCTCACACTTCAACAAGCAGGAAGTCTGGCACTTTTCAGTGTTGTTAGCAACGCGGTGCAAGAACATTACTATATAGTATTTGCTAAACAAACTATAATATGTAGCTTATTTTGAAACATCTCATAAATCTTCTTAACAGAATACTGCTTGATACGTCTTAAAATTTCCGCTTGACATCATATCCAGAGTACACAAGGGCTATTAAATCATTTATATTTTACAAGAAAATAATTATAATATCGATCTTAAGTCATTATTTGAATAGTTTATGAATATACTGAAAACTGATGAGGAAGTTTAATTTAAAAATAGTTGGTTGATTAGTTTGATAATTGGATTTAAAGCCTATCAACTAAATGAGATCAATTAAGTCTGCATTAGCCTGTTCACCATCAGTCAAGAATACTTTAATCTCTAAATAACGATTAAGAGGCATACACTTCTCGGTATATGTCCAGTGTGTGTTGGTAAGTGGAACTTATCAACTGAACCTGGAGAAAGCACCAACACTACACTGCCAAAGCAGTGATTGGCGTCAACTGTTCGCTATATCTGTTTGCCTATTGTTTTGATTTAAATGTTACTTATATGGAGAATTGCACAGTATAATTCCACAACAAACCG